TACAACAATATGTATGCGTATTTCATGATGTATGTTCACGAAATGCTATCGAGGTATGCCATTTTTTTATTTGTTTTCTCGATTGTATTCTTTTTTTCAACACTAATATTGACAACAGTGTATCAAACAAATATAATCTGATCGTGAATCAATGGATGGATTGACTCATGTCACATAGGTTTTTTACTTCATCAAATGGTGGATTCATTGTATTTTGATTTTGTTTGATACAAACAAGAAGTTTTTTTTCTTGAAATAGAAATATGAAAAAAATAATACTAATTTAAAACTATATTAATAGACAAATAACTACAGTACTGTACTAAACAAGTCGTCTATCATTTTTGATTCTCATTTTTTCTTTTTTTCATTGTATTGTAATATAATGTAATATGTAACATTTGATTCTATTATTTATAGAATTCCATCTTTTTTTTATTGCGATTGGATATACAGATCCTTGTTTGTAATTTTATTAGGGTTGCTAACTCAATGGTAGAGTACTCGGCTTTTAAGTGCGACTCCATTTTTTACACATTTCTATGAACTAATTGGTTCATCCATACCATCGGTAGGGTTTGTAAGACCACGACTGATCCATAAAGGAATGAATGGAAAAAGCAGCATGTCGTATCAACGGTGAATTCAAAAATTTTTTCATTCATATTGGATCCGACCAATCTTTTTCTTTGAATTGTTGGCTGGGAACAAATGAATTCCGTTGGGTTGAATTAATAAAGGGATAAAGCTTAGCTGCTCGAATTCTAGGGAAAGAAAAAGCAACGAGCTTTCATTTTTTATTGGAATGATTACCACATCTAGTTATACGTTAAAAAAGGATTAGTGCTTGCTGTGGAAAAAGTTTTTCCCACGAATGGATTAAGGATTTTTGTTATGAGTCCTAATTATTAGCTATTCCCCATTATGTTATGGGGTAGCAAGAAATGTGTAGAAGAAAGAGTATATTGATAAAGATATTTTTTTCCAAAATCAAAAGAGCGATTGGTCCCCAAAAAATAAAGGATTTCTAACTAGCTTGTTGTCCTAGAAAAATTAGAAGGAACAAGCGAGGGGAGATAGTCCATTAATGTGTTTTAACTCGTTTTCTAGGTATCTATTCATATTTGTTTTTTATTTCAATTCGAATATAGATATAGAATACCTTGTTTTGACTGTATCGCACTATGTATCATTTGATAATCCAATGAATCTCTGATCCTTTGACCAAATATCATTTCTAAAATGAAGGAATATAAAGTCTATTTAGAACGAGCTAGATCTCGCCAACAACACTTCCTATACCCACTTATTTTTAGGGAGTATATTTATGGACTTGCTTATAGTCATAATTTGAATAGATCCATTTTTGTGGAAAATATAGGTTATGACAAGAAATATAGTTTACTAATTGTAAAACGGTTAATTACTCGAATGTATCAACAGAATCATTTAATCATTTGGGCTAATGATTCTAACAAAAATCCATTTTGGGGGTATAAGAATAATTATTATTCTCAAATAATATCAGAGGGTTTTGCCATCGTCGTGGAAATTCCATTTTTCCTACAATTAAGCTCTT